GGAAAAATAAATAAAATAATAGCAGGATATATTATAGTAACCCACTTTGACTTTCCATTATCTTGATTTAAAGCCCTGTATTGCTCTCACCATCTTGTTTTGACTGATGTGCCTCTATTCTGTTTTGCTTGATAGTACCAGGTTTGAAAGTTTAGTTAACAGCTGTGAAGATTTTGGGATTCATTATGACACCCATTATGGTTGACTATTATCTACTTTTGAAGACCTGTAATGTCTCCAATGTTTTGGTTTTGTCGGTTTTGTTCTTTACTGTTTTGTTCAATTTTATTATATCTGATGATATAGGCAATTCTATTAGAGATAGCGGGAGGCATTATGGTTACCATTGTTGATCACCTTGTATTATGCTTTTACATTATCTATTACATCCACCCTTTTGATTTGGCTGACTCTATTCTGTTATGTCACATTTGGTTCTACTCTCTTCCAAAAAACTAATAAGAACTGTGGGTGCAACAAAACCCAAAATGTGTAATTGTCATTGTACAAAAGAGAGGAAAAGAAAGTGCTCTAAAAGATATAACTGCATGTATATTTAAGTGTATAAGATAGATAATGATATTACTGAGTTTTGTTGGATCATTGAACAGAGCTGTTTGCAGTCCCATTGTTGGAATGTCCACTTTATAAGCTTTAATTTTGTAACTTGAACAGTTATTTCTAAGATGACAATATGTAATCCATTACCTAGTGATTTCCTACTGTTTATTTTTTTTCTGTAAATCTGTATAACTTGTACCGTTTCTCTGCTTTTCTTTTTCTCCTTAAATAAAATTTAAAAAAATAAATAAAACCACAATAGTAGGTGATCTATAGTAGTTACTATGATTACTACTCTAGTTATTTTCAATAGAATTGTCTATATCATCAGGCACACTACATAGCAATATTAATAAGAACAAAGAATTGGAGACATTATAGGACTTCAAAAGCAGTTACTAATCAAACTGGAATGGGTATCCTATTCATCTTGTCATCTTCAGAGTAGTTGCCTCTATTCTTAGACTTGATACTGTGAAACATACCAAATTTGAATAAAATCAGTCAAGACAAAACAGCAGTCTAACAAACCAGATTCAAATGAGATCAGTCATATTAAGACTATAAATAATACAGGGCTTCAGGTTAAGTTAATAGGAAATTAAGGATACTTACCATAGTATATCCTGCTATTTTTGGTATAGCTGTCTGTGCCCTCAAATCTAGTATGAATAGACAGCCTGGAACAGAATAAAATCAAACTAAACAGAGTGATAAGACTAATGTGGCTTTTAAATCCTGATACACTATTAACAATGTCCTCTGCCTTCTTTTTTTAGACAATTCCTCCCCTTGCCCTTTCTCAGGGTGCTTTGTATATTTTGGGTCCCACTAACTCCTTTAGTTTTTAGACTAGGGGGCAACCCACCATCTACCTAAGTGGTTCTGAACCTGAGCTTGGTCTTGAGTGTTATTCCTTTACCTATTAAAGCTTCAAGGTTTTCCTTCATTATAGCTGAGTAGTTCTCCACTGCACAAAAGTGTCATGACTTTCCAACCTATCTGCAGCTGCTGGATGAGCTGTCCCTATTTCTCTCTGGTTCCCTGTCACATAGAACATTGTTTTCTCATCTTTGACTTTCAGTTCGTTAAGTATATTTCCTATACAGAGTGTCTTGATGGACACTATCTCCTGATCTACTCTGCCTGTTTCTTTTTGTTAGTGTATCAAGACCATCTGTGTTAGAGATTATAGCCAGTCTTCTCTGTCTCATGTCTGCTATGCTAATTTTTCTGCTGTTGATTGTCTACTTTTCTCCTTCATCCCACTGCCTGCCCCATTCATTGAGGCTTCTCTGCTACTGTTGCTGGTATCCTGGTGATTTTTTTCTCTCTCTCTAGAATGTCCTGCAGTATTTTTTGTAGGGTTGGATTGGTGGTCACGAACTCCCACAGTTCCTCTTTGTCATGGAAACATCTTGTTTCTCCATTAATGTTGAGAGACAGTTTTACAGGGTATATCAATCTGGGTTGGAGGTCATTTTCCTTCAGGGCTTGGAATACTTCACTCCAAGCTCTTCTTGATTTGATAGTCTGTATTGAGAAGTCTGTTGTGATTTTGATGGATTTTCCTTGATAGATGATCTGTTTGTTTTCTCTGACCACTTTTAATATTTTTTTCTTGTGATGAATTTCTGAGATCTTGGTTATTATATGTCTGGGTATTGATCTGTTTTGGTTGTAGCTGGCTGGAGTTCTCTATGCCTCACTTATCTGAGTATCATTTCCTTTTCCTATGCTTGGGAAGTTTTCCTTAATTATTTCTGCGAATAGCCTTTGTATTTCATTAGTGTTTACTCCTCCTTCTTTGCTTTCTAATGTTTGAGTCGTGTTTCTCAGAGAGGCTCACTACCCTGTTACCTATCAATCTGTCATCTTCCCCTCCTGTCCCAGCGCAGTCTTGATTATTACAGCTTTTCAATGAATCCTCCTGTGTGGAAGTGGAAATTGTCCAACTTTGTTCTCTAAAATTGACTTAGCTGCTATTTTTGGTCCTCTACAGTTTTATGTATATTTTATTTATTATTTTTTAAGAGGGAAAGGTTTATTTAGCTCACAGTTTGCAGAGGTTTCAGCCTATAATTGGCTGGCTCCAAAGCAGGGTGGTACATGGCAGAGGGGCAACAATGCATGGCAGCAGAAGACCACAAAAGCAATGGGGGGGAGGTTAACATGTATTTTAGAAATAACTTGTCAATTTGTGTAAAAAGTGTGTTTTTGATTGAGATTGTGGCAAATCTATAGATTAATTCATGGAAGCTGGGTGTGGCAGTGCATGCCTGTAATTCCAGCACTGGGGAGGCTGAGGCAGGAGGATATCCATGGGTTAGAGGCCAGCCTGGGCAACATAGTGAGTTCAAGGCCTACCTAATCTATTTTGTGAGACTGTGTCTCCATAAAAATATTATTAGATTCATTCACAGAAAATTATCATCTTAACATTATTGAGTATTTCAGTCCATGAATGTGGAATTGATTTTACCCAACAGTATTTTGTAGCTATCAGTGTAGAGTTCTTACACATATTTCTTTAGATTTATTCCTAGGTGTTAATTTACTACACTAAACCATATTGCTTTTTTAAATTATTCTACTTGTTACTGTTGTGTTAGTATGTAATTGATTTTTGTATAGTCACTCTATTCCTTGTAATCTTATACATTCTAAAGGACAGTATGTTGGAAAACTTTGTAGATATACTTTATTAGTCTGACAAATTCTTTTTATTCTGGTTTCTTAAGATTTTGTTCAAAAGCATGAATGAGTGCTGACTCTTTATTAGGTGCCCAAGATGTCCACTTCTGACTGGTTCAGCTCTAAGATCTAATGTGATCACCCTTCCCCTGGGCTTTGCTCCATCCCCCTATTCACAAAACGTCTAACACAAAACCTAGGCAAATGTAGGTTTTTTTTTACCACGGATGTAGGAGCAAACATGAAAAGGAAGTAAATGTACACGATCTGGATGCTCTGTGATATAAAATATTTCGTTCCATCCCAAATGGTTGAAATGAGACACAACCTCAGTATTTTCAGCTCCTGCCTCTTTTCTATAAGCATTAAAAAAAACCTACCTCACCCCTTAGTTTAATATTTGTGGCAATAGAAACAATATTTTTCAAATGCAAAATTTAATATAGATATATTTCTAAATTATATACACACTGTCTCCCCTTGCCCAGAGTGTGATGAATCATCCCTGGTCTCATTTCTCTCCCCCAGGGGAAGCCACTGAAATGTCACCCACGCAGCCCGGCGCCGCGTGGAGGGCCGGGTAAGCTGGTTAGGCCATCGCTCCTCACCACCGCCTTGGTGTGTGCCCACGGAAGGTGGAACAGTGAGATAGCAGGCAATGGAATTTTGTCATGAAGAGGTTCAGAATTCTGAACCAGTTCTGATCCAGCTTGCAGGGTCCACAACTTTTGTGGGTGTGTTTAAGCAGCTGGGAACTATATCACCCTTTTAACACGGGATTGAATGTAGAGAGCCTTGGCACCCTCTTGTGGACACGAGAGAATTCAGTGTATAGTATTTTATTCCATAGGACTCCATGTTCCAAAGTGACCCAAACAATTGGAAACCTGAAGTCATGGAACCAGACGTAACATTGCTGTTTATGACCTCTATGAATTCACGTTCCTTATTTGAAGTTGGGTATGATGGTGCACTCCTGTGTTCCAGCACTCTGAGAAGCTAAGGCAGGAGAATTTTCAAAGTAGAACTCAGCCCAAACAATTTCAAACTTAGTGCTATCCCATACAACAAAAACAAAAGTACTGAAACTGTAGGTCATTGCAGAGGTCCTGGGTCGAAACCAAATACCACAAAGTAAAAAAACCAAAAAACAATAAATGGCAGGAACAATAGTACCTGCTTTTAAAGTTCTTGAGAAGATTAAACATTCCTAGTTTCTCAAGATTTTGTTTGAAATCATAAATAGGTACTGTATTGAATTTTACCAGATGCCTTTTCTAAATTGTTTAAGATGTTTTGACTCAGCCCGAGGACCTGATATTATAGCCTTTTCCCATGCTTGGTTACCCCAACTACCCTACCATGCACACATGCACACACACACACACACACACACACACACACACACACACACACAAAGTTAGCCTAGCACATACTATGTTTCCAGTAAATTCACTCTGTGATTGTTATCTGGACGGTGAAACAAGGCTATGTGGACCACACTGTCCCCAGACAGCCTGGCTCCAGAAGCTTGGCTTCTCCTCTCTCTGTTTCTTCTTGTCTCATTCTAATTCCCTAAGGCAATCACTCTGCTCTTAATTATTTCTTTTTACATTTACCACCATGCTTTTAATAACATATGGGTTTTTCTGGATTTGTTTTGTTATTGTTAATCTCCATCATGACATTTTGTTGTGTTTCTCTGATACAGCAGTCAGAATCTTCAACAAACAAGGGCAGAACGGAAGTCCAGTCAGAGCTTCTGCAGCTTAAGCCTCTTAGTTCTAAACCCGAGTTAAGCAAAGCAAAGCAAAGCAACTTCCTCCAAACTAAACGGGTCTCCAGTATTTTCACCCCGCTGAGCTGTCGGGGACAGGTGCTTAGGACTTACACAGGTAGCCATCCTGGCTGTGGCTGCCTTAATTATGCCTGAAGAGCTTAATACCCATCCAGGTCCACAGGTGGAAGAACACGTACACTGGGATGGTGATGGGCAAGAGCAGACTGTAAAAGCAAAGGCTGGCCGTGCTCGTGCAGCCCTGCGGGAAGTCTTCCTCCACAGAGGCCGAGTAGAACAGGCCCGCTAAGGAGACCAGTGGAATAAGCATGGTCAGGGTAGGCAGAGACAGAAACATTCTTCTTCCCCACCCACTACCTGCCTCCATGTTTTAAAGCATTTATGTGTTAAGAAAATGTAGCTGTTTTGTCTGTTTTTCTTTGTTTGTGGCAAAGTCTCACTATGTATTGCAGGCTGGCCTCAAACTTGGAGCAATCTTCCTGCCTCAGCCTCCCAAGTGCTGGGATTACAGGTACATGCTACCACACCTGGCTTATAACTCATCTATATAAAATAATTTAATTATGTATTTAGTTCAGACCAAAAGTATGAACAAAAGCATAAAATGTGACTATTAACAAAAAAATCTAGATTCACATGATACATGTCAGATAATTTTAAGTCTAAGTATTAAATGAGGCAAAGAAATAATAATGAACTAATCACATTAAAAATAAAAATGAAATTTTCATATAACTTTATGCAACAGTGGTCAGAAAGAATGAGATTAGTTGTCTCTATATGACCAAAACATAAAAAATGATGCAGAGAATCTGAATAATGTCATGTAAATAAACCCAAATATATTACCAGGTAGATTCATGAGCCCAACTAACAGCAAAATTGACCTGACATAGGTTATCAAAAAACTTGTCTTCCAAAGTCACCGTACTATTTTACAGTCTGATGATCAGGGTATAAAGATACTAAGTAGTTTCTCCACATTTTCTACAATGCACATTTTTTTTTGAGACAGGTTCTCGCTATGCAGTTCAGGCTGGCCTTAGGCTCACTTTGTAGTGCAGGCTGTTCTCAAACTTGCAACAGTCCCCCTGCCTTAACCTTAAGTGCGGGGATTATAGACATGTGCCACCACTCCTGGCAGCATTATTAGTTTTAAATTACTAATATAGCTATTGTAGTGTATTGTGGTGTTAATTGTTAGTTTCTGTAGTTTTCTCACTGTTTATTGGTATATGTTTGCAATACATAGTAAACACACTCGTATGAGGAATTGGTACATATCCATATTGCAATTTAATCTTTTTTTTTTACTTCTTTCCCCCCTTTTTCCCTTCTGTTCCCCAAATCTCAGGTCCCCCTCCCATGCAATCAAAGTCTGCCTATTTCCTATCATCTACCTTTTATTTTGTTCTTTAAATGATTTGTATCTAGGGTTTCTCATATATTACGCATTCATCTGTGCATTCATCTGTGGATGAGCATACAGCACGTTAGCTATTTTGAGTTTTGCTGCCATAAACATGGGTATGTCTGTCACTGCAAAATGATGTCTTTAACTCTTTTGGGAAAATACGTAGAAAAGGTATATTTGAGTCAAATGGAATGTCTTCTTCCAGTTTTGAGGAATCTCCATGATACTTTTTCCATAGTGGGTGAACTAGTTTACATTCCTACCAGTTTGCATTTCTCTAGTGGCTAAGCATGCTGAACATTTTTTCATGTAACTAATGCCCATTTATGTCTTTTCTTTTGAGAATGTTCTGTTTATTTCAATTATCCATTTTTAACTGGATCTTTTATTTTAAGGATCTAATATTTTTGAGTTCTTTATGTATGCTAGATGTTAGTCCTCTGTCTGAATAGTAGATGGCCCCCCCCAAATTTTTTTCTCCTTCTGTCAGTTGTCTCTTCACTATTTTTTTGATACTGGGAATCTAACTCATGACCTTGCACTTGCCAGGTAAGTGCTGTGCTACTGAGCTATATCCCTGGCTCTGGTTCATTATTTTGCTGTCTAGAGCTTTGAAGTTTGATGCAATCCTATCTGTTGACTACTGGTATTATTTTTTGTGCACTTGGAGTTCTGTTTAGAAATGCCCTGCCTACACATGTGTCTTCAAGAGTTGTATTTTATCTTCCAGCAGATTACGTGTTTCTCTTCTTATATCTAGGCCTTCGATCAGTTTTGGTTTGATTTTAATACAAGATGAGAGCTGCGGGTCTAAATTCATCCTTCTGTATGTGGATAGCCAGTTTTCTCGGCACCGTCCGTTAAAGAGGCTGTCTTTCCTGTTCTCCTGTGTGTGCGCTTTGCTCCTTTGCTGAAGATCAGTTGACCAACGGCACCTGGGGCTGTTTCTGCATCCTCTGCTCCTGTGAACCACAGGTCGTTCCTGTACCGGTGCCAGGTAGTTCATCTCTGTTGCTTTATAATAACTTGTCTGGGATTGTGATGTCTTCTGGTTTGTTGTTGTTGCTCAGAGGTGCTTTGTGTATTCTGAGTCTCTTCTGGTTCCATATACATTTTAGGATTATGTTTTTCATATTGTGAAGAATCTGTTGGGATTGTATTAAATCTATATATCATTTTTGATAATGTGATCCTTCAGCAGTGTTGGTTTTGCCTGTCCAGGAACAGGGCCTGCCATTTTTGATGTCCTCTTCAGTTTATTTTTCAGAATAGCATAGTTTTTATTACAGAAAACTTTCACTTTCTCAGTTAGGTTATTTCCTAGTTGTTGTTTTTTAAGCTACTGTGGCTGAGATTGTTTTCCTGATTTCTTCCTTAGGGTTTATAACGTGTATAATGCAGTATGCATACAGTATAGGATCTGTGTAGTAATGTACAGTCATTGTACTTTTGACTTGTATTTCTCTATGGTTAATGATGTTGAACATTATTTCACACGCTTGTTGGTCATTAATATATTGTCAAAGGAATGTCTGTAAATCCTTTGGCTTTTAAAACTTCAGTTGTTCTTTCATTTTCAAAGTGTCCTTTATGGATTCTAGATACAAGTTCCTTAGCATTAGGATGCATAACAATTTTCTCCTACTTTCAGGCTGTTTTTGCATTTCCTTGAAATTGTCATTTCAAACGTGAAATTTGAAATTTTGATGATGTTCAATTTGTCTAGTTTTTATTTTGTTACTCATGATTTTACAATCAGATCTAAGAAGTTATTGTGTAATTTAAGATCATGAAGATTTAGGCATTTTTTTCCCAGAAACTTTATAGCTTTGACTTGTACATTTAGACCTTTATATTTTTAGTTAGTTTTTAAAATATGGTATGAGGTAAGGGTCTGTTAGGGTGTTTTGTGTTACTATAACAACTACCTGAGGCTTAGTAACTTTCCGCAGAAAATAAGATACATATATCTCACAGTGATGGAGGTTTGAGGTCATGTCTGGCAGTGATCTTCTTGCTGTGGAGTCCTGAGGTGGCTCAGGACATCACATGGCCGCTGGCAGAGTCCAGGTGTGTATCTGTATCCTCTGTTTCTTTCTCTTTTGCTACAGTCATCAGTACTCAATCACGGGGCTCTACCTTGATGACCTTATCTAGTCCTAATCACCTCCCAACACCATCGCTTCTTAAACATCATAATCACAGTAAGTTTTCACCCTGAAAATTACAATAGAAATTAAATTTCAACCTGTGAACTCTTGGGGGCTATTCTCAAATCCTATGCAAACCACTGTAACATTAGAATTTTTTTCAGCATTTATTGAAAAGATTATTCATGGTGCCCTTGTTGAAAATCATTGACCCTAAATTTGTGGGTTTATTTCTGGACCCTTTTGTTCTGTTCCATTTTATGTTTGACCTACCAGTACCACACTGTCCTGGTGGCTGTTAACTTGGTAGTATGTTTTAAATCGGAAAGTATGCATCCGAAGTTTTGTTTTGTTGTTTTTCAAAACTGTCCAAGATATTCTGGTCCCTTGAGTTTCCATACTAATGTTAGGATCTGCATGTTTGTTTCTGCAGAAAACCAAGTGAGATTTTGATAGAGATTGTATTCAGTTTATACATCGATCTGAGGAATATTGTCATCTTAACCATCTGTTTTCTTTTTCTTTTTGGTACTGGGGATCGAACTCACGATCTTGTGCTTGCTGGGCATGGCCTTGTGCCACTGAGCTAAATGCCCGGTCATGCTGTGTTTTCTAATCCATGAACATGGACTGTACTTCCACAAATTTAGTTATTTAATTTCTTTCAGTGATGTTTTGTTATCTGAATATATCTGTTTTAGTCAGTCTTTACACTATAGCATATTACTTAGACTGGGTCATTTATAAAAATTTAAAATAAATTTATTGTTCACAACTATGGAGACTGGAAAGACCAGCACCCAGGTCACAGTAGATTCAAGGGCCTTGTATCTGCTTCCAAGATGGCGCATTTCTGATGAGTTTGTGGCTGTGATGAAGCTGCTGGTCTGGGGACTACACTTTGGGAATCATAGTTGGTGTTAGTTCTGGGAAGTAAGAGAAGGGAGGTCTCAGGATGTAGATGGAGGACAATAGTGAGTGAATGGGCCCTCACGGAATCTCTGTTTATGTCTGTCCCTCTCTTGTGAAGTGAAGCTAGCAGGAGGAAAGTCAGTGCAATACAGTACAGTAGTAAATCAGAGACCTGAGTTGACAGACCTGAGTTTGAATTCACTCCACATCTGTGTGATTCTGGGCAAGTCACTTAACCTCTCTAAGCCTTAGTTGCTTTAAATGCAAGATAGGGCTAATACTAGGGCTTCATAGGGTGGCTGGAAAATTGAGTTATACATAAAGTCCTTAGCATAGTACCTGAGTTACAGTGAGTGCTAAGTGTTGGTCTGGTTGTTACTGATGGCCTGTCACACAAGACCAAGGTCCCTTGGGGATGTTTTCACTGAATGAGATGTGCATGACTTGGATGGACTTGGTTTTGCTGTTGGGAACATTGAAAGCACAATTCACAAGCACTGATATGTGTGGGTGCACACGATGCGAGTATAATTGTCTGAGAGGGCGTGTGGCACTTCAGGAGTAGGCAGGAGACCCTGGCTTCACTGTGGATCTCGGTTTCCTTACATGTGAAAGGACGTAGTTGAAAGAGATTCTAGATCCATCTCCTTTGGCTCTAAACCTAAATTTCTCAATGCCACAGAAATTCTGAGTTTAGAATCCTCTCTTCAACACGAGGGGGCAGCAGCAGACTGGGCTCTTGAAGCCAGGATGGGCTGGTGCTAACTCCCACGTGTTGTAAAAGAAAGGATCCAAAAGGCTAAGATCTCTGCCTGCTCTGAGTGGTTTCCACAAGGCCAGGGTTTAAATCCTAGCGTAGTGCTGTGCCACTATCATCAGAATTGTCTTACTCTTCCTGTGCACCCACTCAATATCACCCTTTCTCTGACCTTTCTCTTCCTCAAGGCCTTTTCAATCTCTCGTCCTACTTCTTGGTGCTGTGATAACATGGGGGCCTAAGTAGCAGGGTGGCAGCTGTGTGCTTTACAAGGTGAAAACTTCCTTTTTCAGGCTCTGGGAGAATTTGAGGCTTGAGTGCTTGTTACTGCTCTCCTAGGGAAGTCAATTTCAAATTAAACACCCACAGGTTGCCAGTCTGTTCAGATGCATTCCAGTCACAAACAGTAGATAGAAGATCTTGGTGATCTGTGGGTGGGGGAACACTCTGTCCCTTGCTTAGGGCTGGTGATCCTGATCATGTGGGCTGGGAAGGAGTGGGGAGAAGTGGGGAGGCTGACCTTGAAGCCAGAAAAGAAACCCCACTATAGAAACAAGATGGGGGCTTGTCCCCTGGATCTGGAGAAGGTGGTTCCGAGATCCCATGGGAGGGTGGGGTGCAGTTCAGGTGACCCCCAGGAGAATTTCAACCTGAGACCAAAGGGAATTGGCCTGAGGCCTAAATAAAAAGATGACCTTTCTGCAGAGAATTTGGGGAACTTCCAGACAAAAGCTGACCTAAGCAAGGCTAAATAGAATGGTAAGTAGAATGGAAGGGCTATAAAGATAAGGTCAAGGTCAAGTTACAAGGTCAACACACTGCGCAGAAGGAAACTGACACTTAGATTGATACCAGGAAGAAGTTGTTTAATGGTTAAACGTATGCCAGATGACTCTAGCTACTTATGGCATTCAGCTCATTTCCTTTTTTTAAAAAAATGCTTATACACATAACCAAGATGTTTATTATTAACTGCAGTGAGCACAGATGGGAGAATATTGCTTACAAGGTCACAAAATGACTGATTTGTATTTCATAAATGCTCTGGTGAATCACTGTGTATTTTTGAGTTAAATATATATATTATGCATATATAAGATTCTGAGGCTTCATTTCCCTTTGGAGTCTTGTAAGAACTTCATCAGAAAGAGAAAGCAGATGCTTTGAAGGTAAGCTATGTATGTTTTATAGATTTTCTGCTTCTCCAAAAGTGAAAATCCCATTCTATTGCACACATGTTGAGTACTACAGAAAGACAGAATAATAAACATTGATTTGACTCAGTGACTTGCCTGATGAAAGGCTTTTTAAGTTTAAAAAAATCCCCGAGGGAAGCCAGGGAAGCACTCAGAGGCACCTGGTGGCCTCCGCACTGCAGCAAGGTATTTTCTAAGCAACCCCAGGGCTCTGGTATTTCTCGCCTGCAGGTTCTTCTCAGATCTTAGCTCATTCTTGATGGTATCAAGCTCATTGCGAATCGTTTCCATTTCTAGTTCGTAATATGATTTCACGTCTGTTCTCAGGTGTGCATTTCCTAGTTCAGTCTGATGCTTGAGTTTCCTGACAGCTTCTTTTAAATCTCTGTTCTCTAAGCTCAACTTGTGGATAAGTTTTTTGGCTTGCAGGAGCTCTTCGGTTAAATTTTTAACATTTACTGCTTTTTCAGATAAGTCATGTTTTAAAGATTGAACTTCCCGGTCTTTCTTCAAAGTGTCTGTCCCTATTTCTTGAAAATGTTGGGATGTGGCCAAGACCTCTTTTTTGGAGTTCAAAAGTTCTTTTTCAGCATTTTCAAATTCCTTTTCTATTTTTCTACATTTCATATTGAGTTCTTCCAGCTCTTCATTCAAAAAGTTGAGGCGAATTTTGGGGGACATTTCTTTGGTCAGTTTTTTCCTCAGGTCTCGTTGTGGGAAGGAGGGTAATTCCCTTTTGAACCTGCTAGAGGGGTCTTGGGTTCTGTTAAAGTTTTCTTCACACCCAACATTCAAAGTAAATGAGTCACAGGAGGAAGAATTTGTATCTGCTTCATTCTTGGACAGGTTTATCCTCCTCCCTTTTAAGTCTCTTTCATTTTGTTGGGAAATATATTCTTTCCTCTTAAATTTATTTTTTTCTTGAAACTTTCTACTGGAAAAATGATTAATTTCTCCCATTCTCCTGCTTTTGTCTATAGCTATTTGTTCAGAAGAGGATTCAGGCTGGGAGGCCTCTTCTAGAACATCCTTTGCACTAAAAAAAGGAGCAAACATATTCTCCTTCCATTGTTTTCTTCTAGCATCCATTTCTTTGGGTACCTCTTCCAGTTTCCTCCCTCACATCCAGGGTCTTTTACTGCTTGTTATTGCTTTCCTCTTCTGACGTAAGCTGGCACAGTCTGGAGATTGCTGTCTCCTCCTCCTTGAAGCTGGCCACCACCTGCAGGTGGCAGCCTCTTGTTCACCACTTGTCACTGTGACCCAGCTCAGCCAGCCTGGCCTCTGCTCACATCCTGAGCCTGCATCTGAGATCACAAGGGATTTGCAGAGGAGAGAAAGGACAGCGGGGCAAAAGCAAAGAACTGATTTCCAGAGAGCCTCTTCCTTCTTTCCTTTACTTCCCGCTAAGTGGTAAGAGCAAAAAACTATCCAGAGAAGCAGCAGCCGAAAACAGGTAGCTCAGGAATGTGGACCATTTTCTCTAAGTTCCTTCAGCTTCCTAAGATGCCACCATGTTCACAAGCTTTTGTTAGTTAGTCGCCTCTGCAGGCTGTGGGGCTGCAGGGACAGATTTACCCTTGAATTTGGTGGCCTTTTTGGTAGCTGACACCTAAATCACTAAATTACTAAAATTAGTGGTGTGGGAGGAGAAAGGCCTTTTTGGTAGCTGACACCTAAATTACTAAAATTAGTGGTGTGGGGAGGAGAAAGCCTAAAGGTTCTAAAGGGCTTGGGGTGGTAGGTAGTGGGACCCAGGAAGTGCCTTACATCTTAGTAAGACTCTCATGGAGGGAAAGTTGGAGAAAATTTAGGAAAGACCTTGCCACAGAATTACTACTAACCATGGAGAGCATTGGGAAGAAGAGCTTGGGTGGAGTGTGCTTAATATTTTGCTGATTACAGGGAAGAAAGAAGGCTGATTGGATCATAATGGACTTCCTTGGCAATATCACAAAAATGCCCAAATGCACAACTTGCTGGCATTCATGTCAACAAGTCCAGTCAAAAGCTTCGAGCTCGCTGCCTGTCCACAAGCCTGCAGGGGCACTAAGTCACCTTAGCCCTGTGGGGCTCTCAGCTTCCCTGTCTGGGGCTGGTGTAGAGCTGACCTTGTGTTGGACTTGTCCTGGCATCCCTTGAGTTCTTGGAACTGTCCCATGCTGAGCCTTTGCTGATTTCCTCACAGAGGTCGCCATGGACACATGGACTCTGGAAGGAAGAGAAGCTCCACATAAAGACATACCACACTGGGCCCTGGGCAGGACGGCAGCTGGGTGCTGATTCGAATTCTGATGGGTAGGGGCAAATTATACCCTGTCTGGTGATCAAATTCACAGGTAAATCAGGTTTCAGGGAAGATGGAGAGCTAGGTAATCACTGACTAAAGCTTTGAAAGAGAAGTGATTGCAATGGCATTGACATACAGCCTCAGAGATGAAATCTGACCTTTTGATAGGTGTTGAGGAAATACTGCCAATAAGGGCACATTTGAAGGAACTTGGGATTTTGATTTTTCTTCTCTGGTCAGACATTGGTTTTTAAAAAATGATAATACATTGGTTTTTAAAAAAACGATATTTAAAAATGATACACATTGGGTTTTAAAAAATGATATACAAATGATATAGGATTGGTTTTTTAAAAATGATAAGAAAGGGGACCTTTTGTATAGGGACTGTCTAGTCAGTGACATTTGAGTTGTATCTCTAGTACTGTTGTGAAAAGTTTCTGGTCCTGGGACCTTTTGTGAGTTATATCACCATATAATAATATACATTGTATACACTGCTTACAGGACATATTGAATTGCTTATAAGACATATCATGTCATTTACATGAAATGTAGAACAGGCCAGTAATAGCCATTGACTAGTCACTTAGTCTTCTGCTGCTACACTTCCTGTGGTAGGTGGAGCCCTTGGGTTTGCTAAAAATCAATAACGCCTGGCCTTGGTGGCGTTTGGGAGACTGAAGCAGGAGATTCAAAAGTTTGAGCCTACCCTAAATATCTTAGCAAGATGCTATCTCAAAATAAAAAATAAAAAGCACTTGGAAGGTAGCTGTGTAGTAGAGTACCCCTGGGTTCAATCCCTGGTAACCAAACCAATTCAAACAAAACCAAATGCCTTTTACAAGCAGGGTACTATAGTTAAATGAAAAATTTGAAGCAGAGTAACACTTTACAGCAATGTTTGAAAATTCCTCAGAAAGATTAATATAGATTTGCATCATGAGTGCTCTGCTACTAGATATGTATCGGAGTAAAGTGAAAACACGTCTAAACAAGTGTTTGTATGAATGTTCATAGCAGCGTAATTCAAAGTGACCAAAAAGTGGAGAAATTAAAATTTCTATTAACAGTTGATGGATAAACCAAGTGTAGTATATCTATCCAATGGAATATTGTTCAGCCATAACAAGAATGAAATACTGACTCAGGCTACAACATTGAGGAACCTTAAGAGCACCATGCTAATGAAAAGAAGTCAGCTGCAAAAGGCCACATATTGTATTGTGTCTTTTACATGAAATGTAGAACAAGCTAGTCATAGGAATATCTATGACTAGTCAATGAATGGTTGCTGGGGGCAAGATGTGAGTGAGAAAAGGGAGGGACTGTGAAGACTATGGAGTTCCATATGGGGAGGTGAAAATATTCTGAAATTATAGTATGGATGATTGCACAACTCTGAGAGTATGCTAAAAACTACTGAACTGCACAGTTATTAAAAAAGGCAGATTTTATGTATATGAATTTAATTTTGTTTTGTGAATTATATCAGTAAAATATGAAGCATGAAATTTTATTCAGAACACACATTTTGTGTTCAAGATGTGCAGTAAGTGCAGTGGTATAGTATACATGAGGCCCTGGGATCAATTCCCAGTGCCTACACATGTTTGTATACATTGTATGCTAATATGCACATACATACATATATACATGTATATAAACATTTAAAATATAATCCAGTTAACATGACAAGTGAAACAGCAAAGGAGAAAAAGACAGTGGAAAAGTTGGGGGGAAAACAGTGGTTTGGGAAAGAAAATGAGACAAAAGAAGAGAAAAAGAGGCTAATTTCATGATTTTTGACCCAGTAAAAAATGTCCCGCATAAGTCTCTGAGTTTCCTTTGGGCTGTGGTCTTTAGAATGCCATTGCCTGTGAAGTATTGCCTTTGAACTTCAAATCAACAAACTAGCTGTTGTTTCCAGATTTTTGAATTGCTTATAGGACATAGAAGGTATCAGTCAGTACAGAGTTGGCTTTTGCATCTCACACTGTGTGACTCATACTGAGACTAACCTAGGCACAGGTTCTCCACTGTCAATGTTAATCTCATCCTTTAGGATCACATTGAAAAGCCCAATAGGTGGTGTTTCTTCTCTAGTATGGACTTATCACTCTTGCCTACTTAGTATAATTTTATAGGTAAATAACGTGAGGTCTTTGGCAAGAATTGGTCTTGACCTATTCTCAAACTCCAGATGGGTAGAAAGTTCAGTCTATAGATGTGGGACCTGGCATGTACTGAAAACATGGTAAATCACTTCTTATCATCAGAAATGACCTTTCCTATTGAAACAAAGGTAACGACAGAGGGTGGGAAAGAGCTTACTGCACAGCCGTGAGAATGAGCCTTGGACTAAGAGCAATGCGCCTTCTGAGGTTCTGGGCCTTCTTGGAGATGACAACTGTCTTTCCTCTCTTTACTTTTTCTGAGTGATTAACCCCCCAGGCTTCTGATTTTGCCTCAAGTGTATGCCCTTTCTTCCATCTTTTGTCCCAGCTCAGTCCCTCTTACTCTCTCGCCTGGTCAGTTGTAATAGCTTTGCTACAGGCTTTCTAGACTCTGATCTTGTCTCCTTCAACCCATGCTTCACCCTGGCTGAGTGACCTTTCAGTGGTCCAAGCCACGCTATGCCCCCACCCATTCATTCTCAGTGTTGGGAGCAGGTGGAGCTATAGACAGAGAGGATACTGATGGTAGGAAGGACTGGGCTTCCTTTGCAGGGTCCTCAGATGCAGGAACCCAGGGAATCCTTCCCTGTGTGGTGTGGCCTGGATCAGCTGACACTCTTAGATAAGAGCACTGTGGTCACATGCGTCAAAAAAGAGTATAAAAGAAAAAAAACTTCTCCCCTATGCTAATGGATAGAATGCAGTGAGCACATCCCAGAAACCCAGAGTCCCAGTGTGCATTGCTAGTGTCAGCCTCTGGGGAAGGGACTGTCTAGCCAGTGACAGTTGAGTTGTATTTCCAGTATTGTTGTGTTAAGTTTCTGGTCCTGGGACCTTTTGTGAACTATAACTGCCCCCTCCATTTCTGGGGCTCAAAGTCATGAACAGAAAATCTGTGGAAAGAATACTGGCAGGGAGGTTTGGAAAGCCCCCTAAGCTAGCCTAGCAGAGAGCCTGGTTTACAACCAGACTTTCCTTATATCCAGAACCAGATGACGAGTTGGGTTCTCCCTTGGAGCAATCCCTTCCCATCCTTTGAAATTTCTCATTATCATTACAGATGTCTTCAATACGCATGGTGCTGTGTATCATGGGCCTGGTGACTTTCTCATTCTAAGTCATACAGTGGGTCTAAATGTTTGCCTCTTCCAGGAAAGCCATGACCACTGCCTGGTTGTCTCTGTTGCAAAAGGAGGCTGAACTTTTATAGTGGGAAATGCCTGCCCATTATAAGACAGATAAGACTCAGGAGTCTCATCTATGCAAATGGAAGATAGAATCACTCCTGATTGGCTTGCTGACTGACTAGGGCATGTTTAGAATGGTGGGTTTTTTTGTTTTTGACATTAAGGTTTTAGTCAAAGGCTGCTTGTCATTTTGGAAATTTCTGAAATACCATGGGTTCTCTTCTGCTAATTCTGGGGGCAATGAAGGCCAATACATATATGCTAGGAGAAAGGAAAAGCCAGATATCTGAGGACAGGACCTTAAACCAGAACTTGTTACCATATAACTTTGGGCTGCTTACTTATGGAAAGCTTCCCAGCCATACTGTGTAAGGGGTGAGGTTGGCACAAGAACACCCAGTGTGTATAGGAATGGGGAAAGAAGCCTTTTCCTTCCAGATCAAATGCAATGAATTAATTGTAATTTCCTTAATCTATATAATCTATGAGATGATTATTTTTATATTAGATATGGGTTGTATTTCCAATGAAGAGTGGGAAATAGACTCTTAAGATTCATATCAAATATCAAATTATCTTGATTTCTGATATACAAGGAGAGAAGGTATTTTGAGAAGGTTCAGGCCTCAAAGATCCTTTTTGGGAGGTGCCCCTGGTATCAGGGACTGCATTTCTCCATCTGAATGATATCGTCCCTCCCTGTCTTAGTTTTACGGGGCTGGGACACAGTATCCAACATCCAGAATTTAAAGGAGGAGGGAGAGGTTTATTTGGCTCATGATTTCAAGAGGCTCAGTCCATGGTCAGCTGGCTCCAAGAGAGAAACATCATTGCAGAAGACCATGGTGGAAGTCGGGCATGGTGGCACATGCTCATAATCCTAGCACTCAGGAGGCAGAAGGATCATTGCAAGTTTGAGACCAGCCTGGGCTACAAAATGTGCTCAAGGCCAGCCTGAACTTCATAGTGAGACCCTGTCTCAAAAAGACCAAAAAACAAAAAAGGCCACAGTGGTGACTGGGAAGCAGAGCAGGGAACAATGCCAGGGAGAAAGGGACCAGGGACCAGATATTGTATCCAAGATCACACATTGGGGAGTCCAAGGTCTAGATGACTCCCAAACCAATCAAGCTGATGTAATGAAACTTAACTACCACAACCCTGTATCTGACATTGAATGTGCACTCAATGAGGGTTTGCTGTGGTGAATAAAAGCCTTTCTCAGTGCCTCTGAAAGGCAGAGGCAGAAAGCAAAATGAGATCTCATTAAGACACAAGTTTTTCTCCTTCCCTTTTCTTCCCTCCCTCCTTCCCTCCTTTCTTCCTTCTAATAATTCAGTGATGGTGAACCTTTTACAACTTTACCATGATAACAAACAGCTGGCTGTGGCATGGGTAACTGTGGAATAGTCTAAATTTGAAAGGTTCAGAAACATCTCACCATCTTTGGCAAAGCCTGATGGCATTTGTTTGACATTGAACATGTTTTTAGACACATGCTCCTACAAGTGTGAGGAGGATGCCCAAGCCTGGTTCTGTGTACTTGACCGGCGCAGCTCCAATTAAACAGGAGACAGGAGACGCTTTTGTGGGCGACAGTTAACTGCTAGTTTATTTACGTGGGCTCTGGTTTATATATTTGGCCGTGACCAATCACAGGCTGCCACGAGGAAGCAGGGCGGGAATGGGACGCAGGCTCCGGCTACTATATCCAGTTGTGGCCAATCAGGAGTTGCCACAGAGTATGGAGTGAGCACGAAGTGCGCACGGGTTGGCTAATTTAAAGAGGGACGTAGCGCAT